CCCGCCCCTTCTATCCTAGGAAGGAGCCGTTCTCCTCCCCCCCCGCGGCTGCTAGCCACGGAGCATGTGCCGGGGCGGGAAACGGAGCGCTGTAAACTTCCGCCTTCTCTTCCTGCCCCCGGCTCTGCCCCGGGCGCTTCAAATGAGCGAGAGGTGCTCGGATTGCTGCTGTCTGCACTGCAGGCTCGTAGCACAGCGACCACTCCGGCCTCGGAGTGTGCTATCTATCGCATGTGTGCCCCGACTCTTTAATGGAGAACTTTTATGAACTAACTTTACACGTTCATATATGCATGCACGCATGAATGATGCGTGCCCCTGGAGGTTGGGGGGCATGGCAACTGCCCCCAGGTGACGGGGGTGGTGGGGGTGGCGAGGGGCGACTGCCCACAGTGTCGGCGGCGCTTCTTTTAGGGGGTGCGCTGCTAATCTTGGGGTGCATGTGCACCTGCATGTACCCCCTGTGTCTCACCAATGCATGCACACACATATGCACATGCTCGCACACACACATGAACACACATATGCACATGCACACGCCTGCACACACATGCATATATGTATGTGTGTGGGTGTATGTACATATTTCTATACACATGTACACATATATGCAGAAGTATATGCATATACATGCACACATATTCATATGCATATACGTATGCTTTTGTGTGTGTGTACACACACACACACACTTGCACACATGCATAGAAAATAGAAAACTAAGGTTAGAAGGGACCTCAGGGAGTCTAGCCCAACTACCTGCTCCAAGCAGGACCATCCCCAACTCTGTCATCCCAGCCAAGGCTTTGTCTAGCCTGGTCTTAAAAACCTCCAAGGATGGAGCTTCCACCACCTCTCTGGGTAGCCTGTTCCAGTGTTTTACTACTATCCTACTGAGAGAGTTTTCCCTAATATCTAACCTGAACTTCCCTTGCTGCAGCTTGAGACTATTTCTCCTTGTTCTGTCATCTGCTACCACTGAGAACGGTCTAGACGCATCCGCTTTGTAACCCCCCTTCAGGTAGTTGAAGGCTGCTATTAAATTCCCTCTCAGTCTTCTCTTCTCCAGATAAAGTCTGATTCTCTCAGCCCTTCTTCATAAGTCATGTGCCCCAGCTCCCTCACCATTTTAGTTGCCCTCTGCTGGACTCTTTCCAATTTGTCCACATCCTTTCTGTAGTGGGGGGCCCATAACTGGACACAATACTCCAGATGTGGCCTCACCAGTGCTGAATAGAGGAGAAGAATCACTGGATATCCAGGGGTCAAACAAACCTGCAGAAGAAAAAGCGGAGCAGTGCATCGATGGGGTAAAAAAAAAAAAAGGGGAGAAAAAAAATCAGAGTAGCGCATGCAGGGGCAGCTTGTGCCACTCAAAAGTGGAGCCGGGTGGCCTGGAGCTGTGCTGTGGCTGCTGGCCAGACTCCACGCGGAAGAATCCCTGCTACTGCAGCCCCGGGAGGCCCCGAGAGCCCCAGGTAAGGCTGCTGGGGCCAGCCCAGTGCTGGCCTCAGCCTCTCCTACCCCACCTGGTGTAATTTGGCACACACCAAAGCCTTACTTTACCACATGTGGTACAGGCGTTCCTCAGGGACAAGTGCCACTGATACTTGTCCCTAGGAAAGCAAATGTCCACGCTCATGTGGACACAGCCCCTGATTTCATCCCTACATGCTGAAGGAATATTCTTCTGCTCCCTAGTTGTGTGTCCAAGTTTCCACACAACTTGGACACACTTAGTTTGTGTGTAAGATTTCTTTTTTGTGTTGTAGCTCACTGAAGAGTTAAGCTTTGCTGGTCTTCTGCCATACTTGCTAGTCTTCCTGTGCATCGGGATGGTTTGTTTCTGTGCCATTAATAAGGTTTCTTTAAAATACAACCAGCTCTTCTGGACTGTTTCCCCTTTCAGACGGGTATCCCAGGGGGTCCTGCCTGTCAGTTCCCTGAGTGAGTCCAAGTCTGTTTTTCTGAAGTCCAGGATCCTTATTTTGCTGCTCTCCTTCCTTCCTTTCCTTGGGATCCTGAAGAAAATCATCTTGTGGTCAGTGCTGCTTAAGTTGCCATCCACTTCTACATTGACCACCAATTCTTCCCTGTTTGTGAGCAGCAGGTCAAGAAGAGCATGGCCCCTAGTTGGTCTCTCCAACACTTGAATCAGGAAGTTGTCCCCAGCACTCTCCAAAAACTTTCTAGGTTCCTGTTCACTGCTGTATTGTCCTCCCAGAAGATGCCAGGGTGATGAGAACCAGGGCTTGTGATTGGGAAACTTCTGCTAGCAGTTTGAGGAAAGCCTCATCCACTTCATTCTCCTAGTGTGGAGTTTCTTGCATATTTGGGCCTACTCTTTAAATACTGGGCTTGCCTTGTCTGCCAGTTATATAGTTATTTTGTCTTCAGTAGCCAAAATGATACTGAGGAATAAGAACTATTATTATTAGTAAACAAATGTAATGGAAGTTGAATACTACTTTTGTCTTGTATATATGATCATGGTTTACTGGGCTGATGCTAACCAGGATCCAATAACAGTACCCCCATTGTACTCTAGCACCTTCTTCTTTTCCAGCAACTGAAGTAGTCAGAGAAGTCAGAGGCTTTTCACCATGAAGCTGCTTCTGCTTCTGGTGCATTATGAAAGAATGAGGTGTGATCCATAACAGAGGATAGGAGTATATGGCAACCAAACTGCAACTCTCAAGAGGCACCGACGAGCCATTTTGTATTAATATAGTTGACGTCATGCTTTTATTTTTTTCAATAGAACATTACTATTTGCCATGGAGCAAGCATACTTTTTTGTGAAATACTTGTTTAGTTAAAAAATCCAGAATTTGTAGAAATTCCATTTTGACACACACTTTTCAAAAAGCTCTTCTTCCACCTTCAGTAAGATCTGCCCAAAGTAAATCTTTCTGGCTTTGTGGAATGTATAGTTGACAAAAAAATCTATGCATGTTTAAATATGGTATACTACTACTATATCAGTTAACATGGTATACTTAGTAGCCCTTGTCTACTGAGATTACATGGGGCAGCATTTGGCTTTGGATCCTTTATCTGAATAGAAATAATGTAACAATGTTAGAATTCAATCTATTGTAATGTATAGATCTTGGTAATTTTTGTTTACTTCTTGAAACTACAACCTCCCCCAGCAAATATATTAAACAGTAATTTCATTGTGTGTGTTAAGCATGGGAATTGGAAATTAATTAAAATTGAGTTTATATATGTATGGGTAAATTGTACTTCTTTTACAGGCATTGTCCATTATATTTAATAGGCCACTAGTGTAAGGTAATCTGGATTTGCCACCATTTCTTGCTTATAATACTTTTTTTTTTCTTATTTCTAGTTAATATATGACAGTTTTGCTCAGTACCTGGTAACGGAAAAGGGTTATGATAAAGATTTGCTGACTGTAACTCCAGAAAACTGGGATTTTTGGTAAGTATTTTAAAAACAAAATCAAAATTTAATTTCTAACTCCAATTTGTATGGATCTTGCAAAATAATTTCTTGATATTGCTATGGTTGTGAGACCCAACACAGAAACTATACACAATCATTTATATTTTAAACTTGAAATGGAGACTTGAATCTTGATCTGCCATGTCCCAAAAAAATGCTCAGATCACTGGGCCATAGAGTCAGTCTCTCTAAGGGTTTTGATCATTGGCACTTTATTTGAATTGTTCTTTTTTGGTGGTTTGTTCTCGTGACTAGTCCCAGGTAGGGTTCTGTGTTTTAATTGCTTTTAGCTCAATTTTTAAAACTTTAACTTTCTTTTTACTAATAAAGGTTGATGAAAGTCAATGTCTCTTTCTCTCTTATATTGACTGATTAATATAAATTATTTATATAAAAAAGAAAAGCTGCAACAGGAGAACTTGAGAAGGTGCACCCCAGAATAGCCAGTGGTCCGATGGGCTGGGTTCTCACACTGAATTTTGGAGGTTGGAATTCAAAAGCCTATTCTTAATGAAGCAGAATAGGGATTTGATCCTTGGTCTCCCACTTTTCAGCCCTAATCTATTGACTGTTCTGGGCAGTGGAGTTATGGTGATAGCATTTCTCTTTCCTCTCTCTATTCCCTTTTTTCTTGTCTCTCTTCCCCTTTTCCCTTGCGTCCTTTCTCTCCTTCTTTCTTTCTCTCTCTCTCTGTCCTCTCCCTCTGTTCTCTTCTCTTTCCTTCT